TTGCTGTCTTATCTTTCCTTTTTTCAATTAGAACACAAACTTGGCCGTTTAAATTTACAGAATTTTTATTTAATATGACACAATTTTACAATATATATTAAGAATAACGTAATAAATACTACCTTGAATGCTAATTACTTCATGCAGTAATATCACGAATACTGCACACTACAGACGTACACTAAACTTAAAATATATGAAATCAGTTACATAATTTTAAATCACTTAAACTTAATATAATCCACGATGAGCTTCGAATATTCTAAATGAATTACTAAAATCAAATATTGTACGTTTCGTTTCAAATAATTTCCACGGGTTTGGCATTAAGTGCTTGGAAGTAAAACTGCGCCTCATTACAGCTCATCAAGAAAATGGTTTATATTCTGCAAATGATCGCCATAGTCCGTCGCCTCGCTGCCCACAAAAGTGTCATAGTTACTCAATATTTCCAAATAGCTTAAGCGATCGTCGTGATCTTCATCGGTTGATACAAATAAATGGTCAACTTCATCTTTGGCGATTGCCTCACTATTCGGCACTACCCAATTGAGGACCTCGTTACCGGTCAATAGGCCATCTTTATTCTCATCCAAATGATCGAAGCGATCTTTTTCTTCCACAAGCCATTCACGACTTCTCTCTTGCCCAGCTGTGCCGATGAATTCGGAGTAATCTATTTCACCATTGTGATTTGTATCCTTCTCACGGAGAGTATGCTCCAGCACGATAGGCAGCATTTGCGGGTGCTCTTCTGGCGAATAGAAGAGAACATATTCTTTGGAGTCCAGTACACCATCCTTATTCAAATCGGCAGCATTGAAAAGCTCCTTGTCAGATTTAATCATTTGTTTCTCCTCATCATAGCTATCGAAATCGATTAGTTCTTTCTTTTCTTCTTCATCCTCCATCGAAAAGCTATCTTTGAGATATTCCTTCCAAGTTATTTGATAGTCACCATCTGCATCAATCTCTTCCATTCGGTCAGCTGCTTCCTCTTCGCCGAGTTTTCTGTATCCATGAGTACCAAATATGAATTATTACAATTTTTTGTTTCAAGCCATTAAATATAGGAAATAACGGAACTAGTTAGGTTGTAAAATGCATATAAATATATACAGTGGCCTTCAAAATAATTGCAGAAAAATTCAAAATGATGCTGTTTACAACTTGTCTTTATTTATTTTGTCTTTATTTAATAATTTTCATTTATAATATTGGTGGATCTATATCAGATCGATACCACATAAACAAAAGTTTCAAAGCTTGCATAAAGCTCACAAAAACTAACTAAACTTAAAAAATGTTCGTCAAAATTTCGATTTGTTCAATAAATTTCCTAGAAACATTTCGAGTATGCAGTTTCATAGCCCATTAAATTTTAGTATAACAAAGTGCAAGTTTTGTAGAGAGTGTTGCACATTTTGTTCCATATAAAAGTAAGTTTTGTTCATGCCTTATATAGAAGCAAATGCGCAACACGCCCCACAAAACAAATCTAAAAAAAGGCAATTTTTAGCGACTTGAAGCTCGCATTAAATTTTACTTAAATTGAATGAGCTTCAAAATTGCACAGTCGAAATCTTTCTAGGAAATCTAGCTAAAAAAAATCGAAATTTTGATTAACATTTTTTTTTAAGTTCAATAAGGTTTTGTGAACTTTCTGCAAGCTTTATAACATTTATTTATGTGGTATCTGATATAGATCAGCTCATATTTTAAACGAAAATTATTAACTGTATTGTATGTATAGTTTCAGGCAGGCTCATCCTAAACTATATATTTTTTATTTTAACATTTTTATTGAGCTTTGTACCACGATTTTTTGTTTATTAGGGAAAACTGAAAAAGCAATAAAGTTTAAGCGGTAGAAGTTATAGCAGCTATTTCGGAGATCACCACATCTCCTCAGAAGACTTCTTTTTTGCTAGACTTCAGCAGGGATCGAACCCGCATTATCGATGTGCAAAGTCAGAAGCGCTAACCGCACACCCCGTAAGCTCTTGGTGCTAATTCATTCCCTTATTCAACCTACTACCATCAAGTGCAGCTGATTTACCGCTAGCAACAAAAGCGCTTCTGAATTTGCACATCGATAAATAAAATTACTTACCCTAAGTAAACATTAACTTGCTCAACGAAGTTTAAAATAACATGGCCTAGTAGCACAGCCCCAAAAATATATTTTTAAAATTTACTTATAAAATATAGAAAAAATAAATAAACAGAAATAAGTTGCCAACAGCATCATTTTGAATTTGCTCCTGTTATTTTGAACGCCATGTGTATGTGTAGTTACTGATAAATAATGCAAAAACCTTTCGTTTTTAATGGCGCTTATTTCTTCTACATGCCAAGGGCAGACGCATTCTCTATTATAAATAGTCATAAATATTGTGCATCATGCAAAACTGACATAGGCTCCGACTCACACTAACACAAAAATTAGGTCTTAGCTTGTATAAATGTACATAGATATATGTGTATATGGAGAAATGTGTTTTTTATGGTATAGCATTAGGGCTTTTCAACAATTAAAGCATTAATCAACAACATAGAACTCACTTAAAAGACCTTAAAATCCAAGCTTTCAGCTCATGGCGCTCAACAAAGCCATCCTTATTTAGATCCATTAATTTTATAAGTACAAGCAAACGCTTTTTTGATTCTTCAGGCGAGAGTTTGTCGAATTCTTGTGCTTCTTTGATGCTGCCTAAAAGAGAGTAAACACTTTCAGCGGAAGTCTTAGTAATTTTTCTTAGCTTTTCAAACTTTTTATGATTCTGTTGAATATAAAAGTAAGGCAATGAAACACAAAAGCATTGCACGTGTGTCACAAATGAAGCGAACCTCAAATATCTGCACCGTAGCACAAGCAGAAACAAGAGAGGTTAGACATACGTACATACATAAATAAGTTCATACGTGCCGAAAACTAGACTATTCATCCAAATTTGTGCCACAATTTTTTTTTTCATGCTTATGAGTTTGTTTAATTTATGCAGCTATGCATATGTATGGTGTTATTCATGATTTCGAGCCCTAACCGCCAACATAACGTAAGCGACATTTGTTTTTTTTTTTTGTTTTGATACAGAAATGCATCTAGATGCTCTAGGAATATTTCTGCATCACAAAGAAAATTTTGAAAAAAATTAGGGCTCGATTTAATAATTGATTCATGGGTGTTATTATAGTAGCTGCGCTTTAAAAGAACACTTTTGAAAGAAAATTGTGAATTGTTTGTTATTAGATGGAATACTGTAATTTGCTCACCAATAATTGCTTCATGATCGAACTCCACATTATGTTCCCCGTCTTCGTGATGATGTGCATCCCGTGCAGCATATATTCCATCCTTGAGTCGTTCTTTACTGTTGTGTTTCTCGTGCTTATGGGTGTGTGTTACGCCTGCGTTGGCTGGCATGGTGTTGACGACGATCACGCACGTAACCAGCAAAGCCAAAACTCCCAAACGTGACATTTTTAAATATCTTAAATCAGTACCAGCTGGTATCTCAAGGTCTTTGCCACTTGTTCTAAGTTGTACCACTTGAAACAAATTCTGTTTGGCTAATATATGCGCGTAAATGAAATTTGGGGCTTCTTACTCAACTGAAATTACTATATTCT